ATAAAATACTTTCGTTTTTTAATTTAAAAGTTCAAAATTCAGATTTTTTAAATGAGACAATTTAAATAAGACGACAGACTTTGGCAAATTATGTCAATTTTAGTTTCCAACACGACTGTTAGGGGTGCTTCAATTGGTACAGACATTTTGTATGGTATAGCCAGTCGAGCTTACTTATATATATTTATATATATATATATATATATATATATATATATATATATATATATATATATATATATATATATATATATATATTATTTTCAATGTATTATTTTCAAGCGGTTCTTTAAAGAAGGTATAGTGCCAATGACCTGGAAATCAGCATTTGTAACGTCCGTAGATAAAAGCGGTGACCGTTCTAATGTAAAAATTATAGGCCTATATCCAAGTTGTGTATATTTGCCAAAATATTTGAGAAAGTTGTCTACCGACAGATATGTGCTACACTGTAGTCTTCTTTTACTCCTGAACAACATGGCTTTTTAAAGCAGAGGTCGACAAACTTTTTAGTTTTTGAATACACCTCTTCACAAATGGATTCAGGGCTACAGGTCGATTGTATTTTTAGTGATTTTAGTAAAGCTTATGATCGTATAGATCACTTGCTGCTCCTAGAGAAACTGTACAAAGCCGGTATACATGGTAATTTATTTAGATAGTTTTCTTCTTACATCAGTAATAGATCCCAGGCGGTTGCAATAAATGGTTTTACTTCTGCGTGGATAACAATTCCTTTTGGCGTACCTCAAGGCTCTTTATTAGGGCCTTTGCTTTTTGTTATATTCATTAACGACATTGCGTTATGTTTCAAACATGCCAGAGTCTTATTATACGCAGACGACACTAAGATTTTTATGGTCACTAACAGCTCTGGTGACTGTGATCGCCTTCAGTCCGATCTGAATAATTTTGTGCAATACTGTACTCAAAATAAGCTTGATGTGAATGATATGTGTCAGTGTGGTGAGTGTAGAGAACTGGCGACTCTAAGCCACTGTGCCCCGGAGTCGTGAAATTACAATTTTCTTAACAATATATATGCGAAATGTAATCTTCGAACACTGAAAAATACTAAGCGTGTATAGACACCGATCGGGTAGCTGCTGTGCCGTGAGCACCTCTACCCGTATGACAAAGAGATGGATTTTGGCCGTTCGGAGTATGTTCAGAATTTAGTTGTATTCCGAAATACTATCGAAAATGAAAAATTTATCTATTTTCCATTTCTTATAATTACCATAATCGTTTTGAATATAAATTATGAAATATATGCAAAGGAAACATGTCCAATAATATGTTAAAATATATAGTTTGCAATTCGCTTACATTTTTTTAGATAAGTTTAAAAAAAATAGCTCAGTTAAGATTTTAGATAAACATTAACCTAATCCTAATATTTATCAAGATACATATATATATATATATATATATATATATATATATATATATATATATATATATATATATATATTTTTTCTTATTTATGAGGCAACCTACGACGCAAATTTAAGTAAAGAAATAACTTTACAACGTTTTTAAGCCTGTTGCACACATGGGGAATGTAGTAAGGTAAAATGTACATATAATATGTCATCACATCAAAATGCTAATGTATATTAAATCCGTAGACAGAGAAACCTATAGACTAATGTTTAGCGTGGCCTCGAGTGAGAAAGGACGATAAGGTAGTATTAGGTTATACAATAATCTTTATAACTTTTAACATATTTAAATAAAAAAATTAATTGTTCTAAGAACTGAACTGAATAAGGTTCGCCAATCTTAAGCTCACAAAACACTTTCTTTCTCACTTAAACCGACTTGGAAACTCCTTAGATCGCTATGAACTGTCAAAGATGTTTAGCAAAGTGTAGTTTGCTAAACAAAAAAAACCGACACGGAGAAAGGGACAAACAATCACACCGCACTGTCTCATTTCTATGCAAGACGTATGCATAAATCTATCTTTTTCGTGTGCGAATGCGTAAGAACGCGTCAATTTGTATATAGGTTTCTCTGTCTAGGATTAAATCATATACTTCCATTTATCAAAGGTATTAAACACATAATAGTCTGTGATCGAATAGCCCCACAGAGCAAAGAGGAGGAGTTTTTGCGGGAACTTGACAAATGAAGGATTGCTGTTTCTTTTTTATCGTTTAAATAATGATTTGAAATAGATTTTGATACACAAAAGTGAAGCGATTTTACATACTAAAGTATCTGCGCATGTAAACCGTAAGAGAAAAGGATGAAACAAGTGCTTCAATGTTGATTTAAAACTCGTTATTTTGATCGCTAGGGTGCCTTATGAACTTGAGTGTCTGTCATCATCGACTGTCCGCTGGGTTGAGTTGTCGTCAAAATCTCTCAAACACTTTAAAATGTACCTCTTCAGCATATTGCAAAGAAAAAACAATAAAAACTAAGACCCCGAATAAATTGAAGACATGGTTTAAAACAAATCATTTTCGGAATACCAAAACGGAATTACGTATGTTATCAGGTACCAAATGCAGCAAGTTCATATAAAATCAATGATTCCTCACACACCTATAGTAGTTTCCCATCCAAAATTTTGTGGGCAAAACGGGATTCCGTACGCATGTGGCCGACCCGTTCGATCCGTTTCGGAATTCTATATGTAGCATGTGGCGGGCGTTAAAAAGATCAAAGATTATTTAAATATTTTGGATGCTTAGAGTATTTTACAAACTTTAAAGCGCGTGTAAGCAAGTCAGGAGTTTGTTATTAATTTCGAAAGGTCACGCACTTTAATTATTTCTCTCGAAGATATTTAATAGAAATTATAGATATCATGGTGAAATTTGCAGTGCCAAGCTGCAAAAATGGTTCACGGAAGCAAAATGAGAAGAACTATGATATCTCTTTTTATCAGGATGTAATATTTTGATAAGAAAACACTGATTTTAACAAAATTATTTAGTGTCTCAAAGATTGTTACGGAAGGCGCTTGGTGCACTTTGGGTTTTCCCCGTATTAGAGCTAGTGTTGTGCCAAGTTGTACTTGAATAATTTTTTAATAACATGATTTCCTTCGTTATAATTATAACATAATTATAGTACTAGAAATAAAGATCCTTTGTATTCTTTACCCAAATTGGTCATAAAATATAACATTTAATGGCTTCCTTCCTATGATATAACAGATTTGCAGTTTATAGTTGATTGTGCAAATTGTTTGGCGTCACCTGAGACTCTTCTATCTGAGCCATCAAAACAAGTTATTTCCTACATATCCCGCTTTGTAGTTAGATACTTGCTTGTGAGGAATATCAAGGTGCATTCTTATCAGGAGAAAGAAATCATTTTCATAAATTTATTATAAAGAAAGATAGAGGTAGTCTTATATATTCATCGAGTCATCGAATGACGTAATAGACATTTGTATTAAAGTGAGAACAAGAATTTGAGAAACAACATATCTTTCAGAAATAATGGCAATATTAATCAAAAATAATGGAAAATTTACTTTTACGTGTACACGCACACACACACACACACACACACACACACACACACACACACACACACACACACACTTAACTGAGCTATTATGAGCATGATCGTTATTAACGCGAGGAAATGTATTTTGAACTATATTACCAAGCGATCGGAAATCTGGCAAGTTTCGGTTTATTTTATTTTCATATCTGACATCTGCAAATAAAAGAATACCCAATTCTTCTAGCGGAACACGATTTTAAAATTCAATACTTTTTATTTCCCCGTGAATAACAAGCCGTTTGTATGTAGATTGAAATTGAATAGCGGTCGGGTTAATATTAAATACACCTTTAGCTCTGACGGCGCCAAAAAACATTCCAGATGATCTTGACTTAACTTGTAGACGGGAATAAAATCTAAAACATTATTCACAACAGCATTTTCGAAGAGTAGAGTGTATACTGTTTATGCAGATCTAAAAACCGCAAAAGCCTTTCTTGGGGACGTTAAAATAGACTGTCCATCTAAAGTCAATCCTTTAATGTAAGACTTCATTTCATCTAAGAACAGGTTTATTTCTGAAAAGTTTCTATTATTTAATGGTTTCTTACAACCTTATTTGTTTAAATTTCTAGAGTTTAAAGCATCGAACAAATTATTGGTTTTCCTTATAAAATCTTTTGTAGCATCTGAGCCTGCAAATTTCGGCAAACCTAATTCTTGTGAACAGTAACTTATAGCCCGCGCCACAGAATTACTAAAAGTTTGCGCTGTTAATTTAACTTTAATAATCCGCCTTTTATAATTAATATGACACTTTTCTAAATTGTTAGCCACGTAAACCATGAAGGGCTTCCCTTCATTGTTTTGTAAAGAATGAAGCTGCTCCATGAAATTCCATGAAATCACGTCATTATTGGCATTTTTAAGCATTTTTGTCACCCAGAGAATTTCTTACTAACTTTAGCATAATATGTATAAATAACAAATTTTTGATCGATCACTTGGAATTCGGGATTAATCCCATCAAGATCACCCATCCCAAATTCGGCAGGACACCCATCGAACGTTAGCGACAAAATATTTACCCCACGAGACGAAACTATTGTTATACAATTTTGAATGTACCATTAATTGCCGTTAGGATGAAAACCAATGCCTCCCTAGCGATGTCTGCTCATTTTTCTCCGTCCCATTGAATATGTTTCCCGATAGTCGTTTCATTTATGGCTAAAGCAATATATAAATTTTTATTTGGGGTCCGCTCTGCTAAAATTTTAAGGCATGTTGCAGATACTGCCGTGAATACAGGATCGTCATCAACACATTTATACCAAGAACATAGTGTTTTGGGATGGGGTAAATTTTTTTTAAAGTGCTGTCTCATATTAAAAATCAAATTTACGCGGTGACAGTGAATATTTTCGCACTTCTGAGGCATTTAAAATTCTTTTAAGGGAATTTTTATTGAGAGGAAGATCGAGTTAAGTAAATTGCTATCCTCTTCGTGAACAAGATCTTTCAACTCTTTAAGAATTTGTTACACATTTGCCACTCTTATTTTTAGACTCCTTATTTTTAACAAAGAGTAGCGCACCATTCTCAACCTCTTCTCCGACAGATTTTGCTGCTTGAAACAGCACCTCTTGGTAAGATTTCTGGGCGTACTCAGTGGCTGAAAGAGTTTCATTTGAATTCATAATGTTACATGTCACCTATACCATATTCAGCAAAGTGAAATACAGAATATAAACAAACAAACTAATGGCTCTCAAAAACAACGACAAATAATGCAGGGTTCTAATGTCAGCTAATTAGTCAGTGAGTAGTTCAGATTCTTTTACATATACAAAATGGGTACAGATACCAGACGCTACTGTTCAGTTCCTAATCGTTGAATACCTTAGCCCTCTTGTATGACAGCTAGGTACTAGTTTTCGTAACTGCCACAACACAACCTTTTAAAAACTCAAGACATACCGTAGTAAAAGTGCTTGGTCGTTCCATAACTACATCATCAACATGATGCTCATTTTCGGTTATTTTAACGTCCTCCTGGAAAAATATCACGTATTCTGAATATTATTGAGCATTCAATACAAAATATAACAGTATGCCATCACATGATAACTATACATTTCTTGTCACTAGTGTTTAGTTAGTAAGTCACTGAAATTAAAGACCATATTTTGTTGTTTGATCACAAAATTTTCACGCTCAGCTCCTTCAATGTTTGTAACATCCACCTGAAAAATGTTAAATTTTTGAATTTCCTTCTACACGTTCAGTGTAAAAGAAATGATATCTTTTAAATTTACTTTTATCCTATCATAACCCATCATAATATTATAACTTACGTACTTTTATTAAATTCTGGACAAAAGCAAGCTTATCTATTATATAAAACACAATAAGAAAATTTAAAATACGACCATATTTAAGCATACAAACCTTAATTGTATAACGCGTTGGGACAGCATTACGAAACAATTCAGTTATTGTGCTTTTTCGAACTAATAAATTCCTTTCAAAGTGCCTGGAGCAAAGTCGAGAGTATTTAGTAGGCTCCCAATTCTTCTTACCCGTAGTTAAAAACCATTTTCTTTTTATTTCCGAATCATTAGAAACTATAATCAGATTATTTTTGACTAGTACAGGTATAACACTATGTATATATAGTACAATAATTAGGATTCTGGTAATTATAAGCGATGAGGTCGTACCTCGGGTAATTATAAACTTTAGCTGGCAGCATTAGGGTTATAATTATGCTAATAATGATAATATCATTATAATTTAAAGAAAAGATGACCATAAGCATCAGTTTTCTACGCTAGGTTGGAGGTTATAATTACGCTAGTAATGATATCATTATAATTCAAAGAAAAGATGACCATACGTTTAATGAATATTATCATTTAAATCGTGATTTAGAAAGTTATTTAAATACATATTCATGAATCAAGTTTACTTACGCTTGAAAGGTAATGCCTTCAATTTTTCTTTCACTGCGGCTTTTACAACCCTTAACACTGCACGACAATATATTAGGATATAAAATTAAATCATTTTCTAGCTTAAAACGTTCAATAATCGAGTTTTATCTGCAAATAAATTTTAAAATAAATTATTTTGTGAATGAAACAAAACATAACAAGCTGTCTGATCTCTGTGTATGAAAAAGTGTTCGTCGAAATGCGTAAAATTAGGCTGGTGCTATAAAAGCAGCAGCGTAAATTTTAAAACAATTTTATATTTTAATAAATAATTTGGACATTTATAAAAAAATATTAACATTTCACACAAAATACTTTTATAACATATTTGAAGTTCACAAAAATAAAATTACTCTCCACGTTTTTCCACAGCAGTTATTTTAGATTACATTCTAAAAATTATTTTTGAACAACGTGAATAGTAGCAGTTTTGTATACTTTGCTGTAACTAACTAGTCACCAAAAAATTTTTTTTTATTCGGTACACTTCAATCCATCTGCAACTGCTCCATTCATGATTCATACCATACCTCATGATTCATACTCATACGCTTGCGCTATTCTGAAAGTTACAGCTTACAGCTGTACACTTTTTCTAGTCCCCATATGAAATGGTTTGAAGTGAATTTTGGTTCTTGATGATACACAAAATAGGTATATTAAGTGTCTACGCATGTGAAGAGAAAACGACGAAACAAGTGCTCGATGTTGATATAAACCTCAAATTATTTGGATCTTTTAGGCGCCTTAAAAATCTCCTAAAAACTTTGCAATGTGATGCATCAGCATATTCGGAAGAAAAAATATTTTAAAAAAGGTCCCGAATGAAATGAAAACGTGGACTAAAGGACAAACATCCAAGCCAAAAGTCTTAATAATTTTTTTTTCGTATAATGCAACTCCACAGAAGCGTAAATAAATATTTGAAATTTGAATCGAAAAATGGCCGTTTGATTTGACAAGCGTTTTGAATTGATTGTTAGTTTTGTGTACTTACACGGTATATGTTATTGGAATTTAAGGTAATTTTTTTAAATTTTTCTTCACTTTTTTAATATTAACAATATAATTCACTAAATTAGTAATGCAAACGAATTACATAATTAAGTATTAACTTAATTTCTCGTAGGTAATGTTTGAGCTCGATATTTTCTGGTGAAAAAAAAAAGTATTTTGCTACAAAACAACTTGAATCGCGTAAAAATAGTGATGAATATCTTTTATACCAAATTTGAAACTACCGTTGTTATTGTTACTTTAAAATATTGCTTTCCTGTACCAAAACTATTTTTGTAAACTGTTACGCGTCCTTTCAGATGTCGAGAATTCCTAAATTACCTATAGCTACAAAAGAAAATAGGCCTGGTCCTTTAAATGGTAGGCCTTTTTCTAGGACATTAGCTGATGGACTTAGTGATGCTGATAAAAAAAGTCTTCTTTTAAATCATACAAAACCTCTTCGAAGTGGGGCAGTCACAACAGTACCCGCACAACGTTTAAAAAGATCTGCTACAGCTCCATCAGCAACAACAGTACCCGTAAAATCTGTTAAAACTGAAAAAAAACCTGGGAGTGTAGCTCCAAAGATTCCACCTTATGACTACAAAGCCAGATTTAATGACTTGCTTGAAAAACATAAAGCAATTAAATCAGAATTTAATGATTTAAAAGACAGACATGTTGAAGTATCAGATGACTACGAAAAAATCAAAGAAACGGTCCAGACTAGTGCTACTGAGAAGGACATTTTAAAAGAAAAATTACTTAATGCTCATAAAGATTTGAAAGAGAAGACTTCAGAACTTCAAAGTCTAAAAATAGATTTAGAAATATTAAAGCATGAAAATGATGAACTTCAACGTAAAACCAAAGTATTAGACGAGGTTACCAGTAGCCTGAAGCAAAAGTCATTAGATTTGGACAAGCTCCAGTCTGAGTTTGATGATTTGTCTAGATGTCATAAAAGTCTGCAAGAAGAGGCAGAAGCCCTAAGGGTGCTTTCAGAACATTTGAAAAAAGTATCAATTGAATATGACAAACTACGGCTTGATTACAAAGAAGCACAAGAAGGCATAACTAAATATAAAAGCGATTATGAGGCATTACAAAATATATTGGCTGGTATGTATAAAGACCAAAGGGACTTGAGGAATACTGTTCAGGATTTGAAAGGAAATATACGAGTTTACTGTAGAATAAGGCCACCGCTTGAGTCAGAGGCATCGAAGCCTTTGTTTAACCTAAATGTGTTAGATGCTTGTTCCATAGAGGTTGAAAAGATTGAATTGTTAAATTCTGCCAGAAAAGGTAAATCCCAACATTCATTCACATTTGACGGTATTTTTACACCACATTCTTCACAAGAAGATGTTTTTGTTGAAGTGTCATCTATGGTGCAGTCCGCTTTAGATGGGTATAATGTTTGTATCTTTGCATATGGTCAAACAGGTTCTGGTAAAACATATACAATGGAAGGAGGTTGTGGTAAAGAGAATTATGGTATTGTACCACGTTCAATTGACATGATATTTAACTGCATGGAAGACTTGAAAAGAATGGGTTGGGAAGTAACTATAAAAGCAACGTTTTTGGAAATATACAATGAAGTCATATATGACTTGCTGGATTCAAACAAGGATCAAGAAAGTCATGATATAAAAATGGTGAATTCAAAAGGAAATGATGTTTATGTGTCAAATTTGAGAGAAGAAGAAGTGAAAAGTTCTCATGACTTCATCAGGTTATTGATATTTGCCCAACGTAATAGACAAACTGCCGCAACATTAAACAATGAACGAAGCTCCAGGTCTCATTCTGTGGCACAAATTAAGATAGCAGCAATTAATGAGAAGCGCAAGGAAAAGTTCACCAGTAATTTAAACTTGGTGGATTTAGCAGGATCAGAGAGTGGAAAAACAACACAAAGAATGGATGAAACAAAACATATTAATAGATCTTTATCTGAACTCTCCAAAGTTATCCTATCACTGCAGACAAATCAATCCCACATACCATATAGAAATTCCAAATTAACCCACCTGTTGATGCCTAGTCTTGGCGGCAATTCTAAAACTCTAATGTTGGTCAATATCAACCAATTTGATGAGTGTTTCAATGAGACTTTAAACTCTTTAAGATTTGCAACTAAAGTAAACAGTTGTCGCACAACAAAAGCTAAGAAAAATCTTACTATGGTAGATACATTCTAGTTTTCAATTATTTAATAATTCTTAAAAATGTAGAGTATTACTTTTAGAATTGTCATTGCAATAAGTCTTATTTTTATAGTCTTATAATTTAGTTCTTTCTGTAAGAATTGTTTATTGCCAAATTATGACATACAGTTTAAATGAATAATATAATTAATTATAATATTATTCCTACTTTTAATGCTTATCTACTTATAATTATTACTAAGTTGGTGCAAAGTTGAAGCATGTTTTGTAAATGATTTCAGTCTCGACAAGATGAATGATTCTAGTGTTCAAACATGTTATTGTATTGTACAATTTTTGACTACAAATCTATGACTCAGTTTTATGGAGTGGTAGGTAAAATAATAAAAAGCGAAAGAAATTTATAAATATTAGAACAGTTACTATGACAACAATTTACTTTGTACCTTGGAATTTTACTAACTGCTGGACAGAGATGTGCTAATGAAGTGATTAATTTTTCATTGAATGCAGAGCAATATTTGATTCATATCCTCATTAATAATGGTAATGTTTGCGAAAATAAATATTTTTTTCAAGTAGGAATCTGAAATACCATCAATTTTTATGTAATTTTTACTTATTTTTATTTGAAATCCCAAATTATTCCAATTTCTCTCAATTTATAGATTTACATTAGAGCTTGTAATTTAGAACTTCTGGAAGAATAAATTATGATTTTCTTATATTTCATTAAAATGTTAATAATATCTATTATTAATATTATCCATTGGAAATCATAGCACTAAAGTACATATATAACCAAAGTACATACATGGATAATCCTTAAAAATATGTTTAGTTTGTTTAAGCACCTTATAAACATTTTGATCCATGATATGACCACTAAACACACATAAAAGGACACTTAATGTTATTTTTATATGTATTATGTAATCTAAATGTTATTTTATTAATGATTTACAATAAATTTGTACCTACTCCCAATTAAAAGTATTCTTAAGTTTTTAATTACAATGTATGTAACATATGGTAAGTGGTACTTTGACTGTTAAGCCCAATACCTTACTTGTTCTGCTATTATTACTACTTGTACACAGCTCGAGTTTTTAACTAAAACTAAATAGCATAGCATTACTAATAACCCATTAACAAAAACATGGCATTTTTACCTATAATATACTTCCACTAAACGCTAAATAATTCTTTTGGAGGTGGAGGTTTGAAAGAGTCCATCATACTGTACATCATACATAATGCCAGAGGGACCTCATTGCCTCCAATAGCCAATAGAAAACAAAATATGACATCTCATATG